AACACAGCGCGACAACAGATTTCTTGTAACGACAGCGTTGCGAAATCGTCGTTTGACTGCCGTTGAACTTGCACAGCAGCTTCAACAGGTGCGTGAAGTGGTAGTCAGCAGGTGGACAGTCAGAAGGAGACTTGCCGAAGGTGGTTTGACTGCGCATAGGCCAGCAAATGGCCCTAAATTGACGCCAGCTCACCGCCGGGCTCGTTTTCGATTTGCACAAGAACACGTCAACTGGACAGCCGACCAGTGGAAAGCAGTCCTGTTCTCAGACGAGTCCAGAATGTGTCTTCATGATAATGATGGACGTGGAAGGGTCTACAGAAGGCGCCCAGAGCGATTTTCCCAATGTTGCATCACAGAACGTGTAGCATACGGCGGTGGTTCGTGTATGTTCTGGGGAGGTATCTCACTCGAACGAAAAACAGAGCTTGTCTTCATCGTTGGGGCCAATATTAGGCGACAAATAAGAGGTCTAACATCTTAACGATACATAGAGGAAGTACTTTTTTTTTTTATTGCCTTTGTAGGCAGACGAGCGTACGGCCCACCTGATGGTAAGTGGTTACCGTCGCCCATGGACTTCAGCAATGCCAGGAGCAGAGCCAAGCCGCTGCCTATTAAAAGAAATGGTACGACATGTTCTACAAGAACGACGTGTTCTACAAGAACATGTCGTACCATTTGGCCGTTTAATTGGAAGTAACTTCCTTTTTATGCATGACAATGCAAGACCTCATACCGCTGCGATAGTGAGACAATACTTACAAGAAGTAAATGTACCCGTGATGGAGTGGCCAGCTCGGAGCCCGGACCTTAATCCGATTGAACACTTGTGGGACGAATTAAAAAGAAAAATTAGANTACCGCTGCGATAGTGAGACAATACTTACAAGAAGTAAATGTACCCGTGATGGAGTGGCCAGCTCGGAGCCCGGACCTTAATCCGATTGAACACTTGTGGGACGAATTAAAAAGAAAAATTAGAGGTCGAAATAGTGCTCCAGCTAATCTCCAGGAGCTACAAAATGCGCTCAAAGAGGAATGGGACGCCATGCCACAAGACTTGATCAGAAACTTGATAGAGTCGATGGAGAATCGGTGTGAAGCTGTAATTCGGGCAAGAGGGGGCAATACTTGTTACTAATAAATGATTTTTCAGTATTTTTTTTGTTTTTTCCCCAAATTTTAAACGGTTTAGTTGAGTAATCATTTTGTAATAAAGATTAAATTGTTGTTGTATTTTATTTTCCTCAAGAAAGTAACCTTATCTCCACTTATATGTATATGGTATCATTGAATAGGTATTGAACTAACCTTTAACCCTATGTTAAAAAATATATGTATTTTTTTAAATTAAAAGAAGTAAATAATATTTTTCAAAAAATGTACAGATGTGCGATTTCATTGCACCCGAGTGTAGTATGCATGCGTGTGTGCGTCAAATACATGGTAGTGTGTGTAATGTTTTTTTATTAATTTAATGTATTTTAGGCATAATTTAAAAAAATATTACATTCTGCACTCCTTCTCTATATTCTCTCTATATTCCGTCCGCGCAATTTTCGTAAAAAGGGATACAAAGTTTTTCCTTTACGTATTAATATATAGATTCTTAAAAACTGTCAAACGGTATATTTAGAATTGAACACGAGAATTTTTTATTTGGCTCGTCTCAAAAAATTATTTGACACTTATCGAAACGTAGTATTCAAGCAGTGCCGTTAGAATCTGCCCTCACGTCCTTACGGTTCCATCAGATCAAATAACCTTTGCATTAGATGCATTAAGCTCTAACACTAGGAGTAGTCTTAGGGACCCCGGTAACCGTACTCGTAGAACTCGGCAAAGAGTTCGACGTGCAATCTAACCTAAACATCAGCCAGTTACACGCTGGATCTTCTCAGCGCGTCGCGATTCTGATCCGTTAGTAGATTCATTCGCGAAACAACTGCTCTTGAGTTGTTAGGTCTCCTACGGAGGCGCTCGGGCAGCTGTTAGCAAATCCCACCCCGCCTGGCTGCAATGGCGGATCCAGGGGGAGGGTCATGGGGGTCATGACCACCCCCTGAGCTGGGTCCAGGACTTAGGTCGACCACTAATTGAATATAATGATTTTATTTATATATTTTGTCACCATACAGGTTTTATGTAACTACATACCTTCAATATTTAATTAATTTAATATAATATAATAACTTTGTATAATGGCAAACGTTTGGGAACGAACGCATCTGAATTTGACTACGTGACCCCCTCCTGGCGCCAAAGCTGGATCCGCCCTTGCCTGGCTGAGCCTTTGCTCGCCCACCTGTCCTGGTGAAACTGGAAAGGCCTTCGGGCCACCAGTAATAATTCAATCATAAAAAAAAGAATCTGCCATAACATCTCATTCTGTGCATCGTCTATTTGTTGATCTGTAAATCTTTGTAGTAACCTACAAAGTGACCGACTTGGCTTGACGAGACACCAACACTGATATACAAGAATATCAATTCCTAGCAACCATTTAAAAATGTGAGGCTAATCCTCAAACTTTGAACATTTTCAGATGTCTTGTAGTTGTGCGGGGTGAAGTGTGGACCAGAGTCCTGGGGCAGCCGTGGGAAACGCTCCCAGCGGCCCCCTGGAGCCACATGTACAAGATGAAGAAACCTCCGCCGGGCGATACCAGCTTCTTGAACAAGTAAAAAGCTTAAACAATTATAAAAATAGACACGATTATTATTATAGCAGAGAGTAGAGTAGACTATTTTTGTAGATTGAAAGGAATTGACCTACAATCTGGTCCAACGTTAAAAAACTCAGTACTCACAATTTATTACATTACTTTTCACACGATCCATCCTTGCCTACCTGGTCTTCCTCAATAAGTGCTCATTTATCTACGTACTTTCCTACTACTACGACTACGGTCTTTTTTGCCACGTACCATCCGGCTATGGAATGAGCTGCCCTCCGCGGTGTTTCCCGAGCGCTATGACATGTCCTTCTTCAAACAAGGCTTGCGGAGAGTATTAAGCGGTAGGCAGCGGCTTGGCTTTGCCCCTGGCATTGCTGAAGTCCATGGGCGACGGTAACTACTCACCATCAGGTGGGCCGTATGCTCGTCTGCCTACAAGGGCAATAAAAAAAACTTTTGATGTAACAAAAAGTCAATCCACGACCTAATTTTCAAGTCCATTGTGCTGAGTAAGCGCCATCCGTAGTTCAGTTTGTTTATAATCTCTTGCGGGACCGTACACTCACAAAATAATGAACAAGATAAGTTTATTTATTTACAAATAATGCGTGTATCATCAGAGAGGCAGAGCAGAAAGGCCCAGTGTATGAACTATCAGAGCAGGACGCCCCGAAACACGAGCAAGTTCTGAGATCTGAAAAGAGAACCACCGAGGATCCGAACTGCAAGGAAGCAGTGCTCAGATCCGCTCCCACGCCGGATATCGTGGTAAATACAAATATCATGTTTTTTTTCCTTTTATTGCTTAGGTAGGTGGACGAGCTCACAGCCCACCTGGTGCTAAGTGGTTACTGGAGCCCATAGACAACGTAAATGCGCCACCCACCTTGAGATATAAGTTCTAAAGTCTCAAGTATAATTACAACGGTTGCCCCGCCCTTCAAACCGAAACGCATTACTGCTTCACGGCGGAAATAGGCAGGGCGGTGGTACCTACCCGCGCGGACTCTCAAGAAGTCTTACCACCAGTACGTATCCTAGGTATTTCATGTTCATACTCTGCATAATATAAATATTTCTGTAAATATCCAAAGTAAGGTTTTACAGCACACACAGATGAGGGCTCGCCCTCATGTCTCCGTCTGAGTGGTAATGTTCACGTTGTGGTGTCTATGAGCTCCGGTGACCACTGAACCTCAGGTGGCTGGTTCTACGAAGTTAATGAAAAAAGCCATCTTGTTTTATTTTCAATGAAAGTGCAGGAACGGATAGGTACTTCTTATTAAATTAATCCATTGCAGATAGCACTATCTACGAACAATGATGAGAAGGAACCGAAAAGGGATATTGAAAGGTAAAGTACCTACGTTTACAATTACGTTTTTAAAATCCAGGTCCAGGCCTAAGTAAGCCAAAGCCTGTTGATACAGAATTCACTATCAAGAACTGATTATAAGGGTAATTATTATTGTTCGTGCATTGCCGAAATTAGCTTTTGTTTTTTGTTGCCTCATTGCTGTGCAGGTTTTTTCGGTCAAGAATCACGCACAGATTACAATGTAAATGATTTTATTTAACCAACGGCGGATCCAGGGGGGGGTCATGGGGTCATGCCCCCCCCCCCCCTGAGCTAGTTCCAGGACTTGAACTAACTTGGACTAATTGAAGAACATCATGATTTATTTATTATCTATTGTTATCAAAATTAAATTATAAGTTCTTAACCTGCCCACGACTATGTGACCCCCTCCTGGCGCCAAAGCTGGATCCGCCCTTGTATTTAACAGGCTTCGATCCTTATATTGATCTGTGCAAGGTGGCTGGCAGGAACTGGATGAGAGAAGCCGAGGATCGTGCTCAGTGGCGAACAATTGGACAGGCCTATGTCCAGCAGTGGACTGCTATAGGATGATGGTGATGATGATCCTTGTCGTGTGCTCCAAAAGCACAGTAGCAGCCAGTGCGCAGGAGTGGAGTGAACTTCATGAAGCGATTTGGTTATAAATGTTGTACATATTATCATTCCAGGCGAAAACGCGTCCATGAGGTTCCCGACGAAGAAAGAAACGAACCAGAGAATCAAGACATCGAAGAATTACCAGCTTCCACAGATAAGGTTAGTATTAACCGACGCAGACACGTACATAGCTTTGTAGGTTCAAATTTGAACAGAGCTTTAGCCAATTAGCTGTTATATGCCGAGGTCAAAGGACGTGATATCTCATCATCGTAGCCGTAAAGTATCTTCTACATGGCGCTGTATTAAGTAAATCACACTTCTGAAGTAAACTATAATATTATTATGATGGATGGGAAGCATCGTTCTATAAATTTCTAGTGCAACTCCAGTTTTATTGATTCCTATATAATTGTAATGAAAATCTAATTTCTGAACCATCGTTATATTTCACAACAGACCAAGGTCAGGGTGCATTTTGGGAAGATAGTGTATTTCTTACTAGGAATGAGGGGGAAGAGGTCGACCGAAGAAGACATGGATGGAGTGTGTGAATGACGATATGAGAGAGAGAGAGAGAGAGAGAGTATTGAGATGACGGCTGATAGAGGAGAATGGAATAGAAAAATTCGTTGTGCCGACCCCACCTAATAGGATAAGGTAGAGGAAAAGAAGAGTATATTTCTTACAATATAATACAAACCCGGGGATGTGGGAGGTCAATAATACATGTTTATTTTGTGAAGTGTCCGCACTCTGTCTCTGTGACCGTAGCGTATTAACAAATATTCGTAGGGTCGTATCTAATTCGTAATTCGTTCTGTCTTTACATTGAGGTATTGCTTTTTGGCGCTGTAGTAGTTTAACACATCAGATTTCTTCAACTAGCTGATAGATCGATTCAGTAGTTAGTCCAAAATCAATTACTTTTTATTGAAGTAGTAGTTTATAAAGGTTTTCGAACAGTCTTAACTTCATCATCGATTCAAAAGACAGTATCACCATTTAGAAGAATAGTTACCTAAAAAATTGAAGGGGTGTTGTTTTGAAATTAAAAAATACATGTTACATATAAAATGTTATAACATAGCAGTAGGTACATTCCTACCTTTGCGTATAGATATCGCAACACCGACGTGGTCCAACAACAATGAATGATCGGCTTCAGATTCGCTCAGTGATAGACCGCAAAGTTATAATTTGCGTAATCACTGGTGGTAGGACCTCTTGTTAGTGTACCACCACCCTGCCTATTTCTGCCGTGAAGCAGTAATGCGTTTCGGCTTGAAGGGCGGGGCAGCCCTTACTTAAGACCTTAGAACTTACATATCAAGGTGGGTGGCGCATTTACGTTGTAGACGTCTATGGGCTCCAGTAACCACTTAACACCTGGTGGGCTGTGAGCTCGTCCACCCACCTAAGCAATAAAAAAAATTGCAGTATTTCAGCTTAGATCTTGTTATTTCAGCCCCTCGGGAATTCGGACGAAGCTTACAACAGCAACACAGATGCAATGACAAAAAAGCCTAAAACAAAAGTAAGTTTGCTTAATGCGGTATACTTTCAGATGAACACTCGGGCCGTCAGGAAACCGACCAGTTTAGTTAGTGCGAATTTTTTAACGTTCTCGATAGCGTAAAAGTTAACTCATATTTGCATGGAATGGGATCATTTGCTTACGTTTGCCGCTAGGGGCGCTGTTCCAACTGCATACAAAATTGGGCTAACTTTTACGCTATCGAGAACGTTAAAAAACTCGCACTAAACACACAGTATCCGGGACATCGATTCCATAACGAAACTTCTCCTAGTTGCCTTTACAGAAACTAAGAACCTGTCAGCGATAATGTCATATAGTATATCGGAACAAAAGCCCTTATATTCCAAACCTTTCTTAAATTTTCAGATTCAGAACCAGGTAACCTGGACAGAGATACCTCCCAATCAGTGGACGGAGCGCGATCCCTCGATGGATGCAGAGAATGTCAAGGTTTGGGAGCTTATATCATGCCGTAAAAGAACTTGTGAATTTATTTCGTGAAACATCCAAGAAGACATTTCCTCTTTTTTTTCCTATGCTGATAGCCTTGAGAGGCTATTTCAGCTTCACCCTAATATTTGTAGGTGAGCTCACGGGGCTCAAACCGGAGAGTTGCTAACACTGACCCTAGCAAGAGCAGTGCTTCGCAGAGTTTCCTCTCAAAGATAATTATCTTCTGGAAACATTTCAGGATGTGCAAGAGGAGAAAAAAGAGGTGAAATCATCGAACCTCCAAGCGTTAGTAGACGCTATCGGTACTAGAATGAGAGATATTGAGACTGTGGTGCAGAAGATGAGCCAGAAGGTACAGCAGGTCAAGCCCGAAGACGCAGTGGCCAGCTCAGAGAAGAGGTAAGGCTTGTATTTAGTTTACAAAATTAATTTTCCGTTTCTATCATGATACGTTCAATGATCGGATTTTTTTTAATTGCTTATATGGGTGGACGAACTCACAGCCCACCTTGTGTTAAGTGGTTATTGGAGCCCATAGACATCTACAACGTAAATGCGCCACCCACCTTGAGATATAAGTTCTAAGGTCTCAAGTATAGTTACAACGGCTGCCCCACCCTTCAAACCGAAACGCATTACTGCTTCACGGCAAAAATAGGTGGGTTGGTGGTACCTACCCGTGCGGACTCACAAGAGGTCCTACCACCACTATCTCCTTTGTTTTGTTCTTAATTTTTTTATCTGCTGGAAAAAAGCTAACTCTACCGCGCTGCATGGAAGCAGTTCCAAGAAATTGTTGTGTAAGAGCAACCGATTGACGGCGTATCAAGCTGGTTCTGATCCAGCGTTGTATTCCGGGACACCAGTGGCACCGTCTGGTGTTATCTCTCAGGTTTATGTTTTATCATGGCTGTTAGACGATATTGTTTCAGGTCTGACGAAGGAAAGCGTCACGAAAGAAAAGAGCACGAAAAAAATTACGATGAACTGAAAAAGCCAAGCCCTGATGGAGACCACTATAAAAGGTAATGCACCAGATAAATTACATTCCGCGCGGGTAGGTACCACCACCCTGCCCATTTCTGCCGTGAAGCAGTAATGCGTTTCGGTTTGAAGGGTGGGGCAGCCGTTGTAACTATACTTGAGACCTTGGAACTTGTGTCTCAAGGTGGGTGGCGCATTTACGTTATGGATGTCTATGGGCTCCAGTAACCACTTAACACCAGGTGGGCTGTGAGCTCGTCCACCCATGTAAGCAATAAAAAAATAAAAAAAACATTGAAATTATTTTTCCAAAAGCGTTTTGAGTGACATGGCTTTCTAGCTTGTTCCATGCCGCTCCGAAAGCACAACGCTGTGAGTCTATAAGCGTCACTAGTGCCTTTGTGGGTGAGAGGAAATGTTAACACTGTTTTAGCACTTCATAAATATTTATTTGGCGACCACATTACACACATACATACAAGTATACACGCGCAGCCTTCCGGCGACAAGTTCTATGATTGACTATGGCTTTCATGGCTTTGTAGGTGTGTGTGTAGGAACACATTTAGCAGCGTATGCAGTTTTGTGCATCGCATGCATTTGGTCAGTCGTACATAGCCCACCCGACACGGCAGACACTGGTGAATATACGGAGTAAAAATTACAATCAACTTGTTTCATTAGTAAAGGGCAGTTTACTCTTTACTCTTGCTAAAGCAACCGTACAGTGGTGACCCCGAGCATCCGAACTTTATTTATACCGTGCGTTTTGTGTACTGTGAAAGTGTTTTTTGGGACTTGGACCGGTACGACCCACTACTGCGATTTCCTGCACCATGGCGCAGGCCGACGCAGACGGTTTCAAGCAAACCATGGCTCCGGAAGCTGCTCTCCAACTGGCAAGCATTACCATATCATCACGCATACCAGAGTTTTGGATGGACCAACTACGCCTTTGGTTTATTCAGATTGAGGCTATCCTGTGCCCGCAGGATAGCCTCAATCTGGATCAATCTGGCCCGGAGGAAGCTAGGCGACGAGCAAAAATACAACTTGGTAATCGCGAAATTAAGCAAGCAGGCCATAGCCCAAGTTACCGATTTTTTGACCAAACCACCGGAGAAAAATAGGTATAATGCTCTGAAAGAGAAATTACTTCAAGTTTTTGAAGAGTCAGAGGCCCGAAAACGATACAAGCTGATTGGTGAGATGGAGCTTGGTGACCAGCGCCCATCCCAGCTGCTGACGAAGATGACTGACCTGGCACGGGGGAAGGTGAGCGAGGACACTCTGTCTTTGCTGTGGAAAAGGCATCTCCCGATGTCAGTACGCGCAGTCCTCACCGTATCTGAGACCAGCGATTTGGCACAGCTCGCCAAACTCGCCGACAAAGTGCTGGAAAACATCCAGCCTTCCCATATCTCAGAGGTTGGTGCCACAGAAAAAGGTGAGTCTACTACATCTATTTTGGCGGAGATCGCGAAAATAAATTCACGTCTTGACAACATGACTGTTTCTACTTCGGGACCCAGGCGTAATTTCAATCGTAACAACGAGAGGTTCCGGGGAAGGTCACGATCCCGACCGGGTGCGAACGCGAAACGTACCCAACGCAGCCCGGATTGGCTTTGCTATTACCACTACAGATATCGTACTAAAGCCAACAAGTGTGTTCAGCCCTGTAGCTGGAAGGACACCACGGAAAACCGATGCAGGTGCAGCCCGCGGCGGATGGCTGTACGAGTCTTCTTACCAACAACCGCCTTACAGTTACTGATTCTACGACAGGATTACGTTTTCTGATTGATACTGGTGCTAGTGTGTCCGTAATTCCGTATAACAGCAGGTTAGTGAAAAAGTGCGATTCTAAAGTGTGCGACTATACGCTATACGCCGCAAACGGTTCAGAAATTAAGACTTATGGTTTTAAAACTATTGTGTTAGATTTAAATTTAAGACGTAATTATCATTGGACATTTATAATAGCCGATGTCAAACAGCCTATTTTAGGAACAGATTTCATAAAATATCACAGACTTTTAGTGGATTTATCTGGTCATAGATTAATTGATCGACAAACTAACATCGGTACTATAGCCACTGTTGTAAATTGGAATGAGCCCTCGTTGAGAACTATCGATTCTAATCATCCATATGAACAATTATTGTCTAAATACCCAGATATTTGCAAACCGATTAATTGTAAAGACGTACCTAAACATTCAGTTATGCATTTTATCGAGAGAAGCGGCCGGCCGGTGTCAGCGCGCTCAAGGCCGCTCCCGCCCGACCGATATAAGAAAGTCAAGGCTGACATCACACTCATGCAGGAAATGGGCATATGTCGTCCATCTAATGGAGCATTGTCTAGTCCCTTGCATGTTGTGCCTAAAAAAGACGGCCAATTAAGACCTTGTGGCGACTATAGAGCCTTGAACGCCATAACTAAACCTGACTTGTATCCTATCCCAAGGATACAAGACTTTACATATGTCTTACCTAATAAAACTATTTTCTCTAGATTGGACGTCTGCAGAGCTTATCACAAAATTCCTGTAAACCCCGACGACATAGAGAAGACGGCAATTATCACGCCGTTCGGTCTATATGAATTTCCGCGAATGAGTTTTGGTCTTAGAAATGCAGCCCAAACCTTTCAACGATTCATGAACAACTCGGTGTTGCAGGGAATACAAGCTGTGAGCTCTGACGGTGATATTATTGAAGGTTCTGATTTTTTATATTGTTATTTAGATGACGTAATTGTCGCTAGTCTAAATATGAATGAGCATAAGTCGCAATTGGACGCGATTTTTAAACGTTTTGACGAATTCGGCATAACCATTAATTTGAGTAAATGCGTTTTCGGTCAACAGAAAATTGAATTCTTGGGATATCAAGTGTCCAGCGACGGTGTGTTACCTTTGGGGGACAAGGTCAAGGCGATAGTCGATTTCCCTCGCCCAGAAACTGTTGACAAGTTGAGGCAATTTTTAGGGATGCTGAATTTCTATAGAGCTCACTTACCAAAAGCGGCCCAGCGGCAGGCAGAGCTCAATAAATTTTTAAAAGGCGCCAAGAAAAAGGATAAGTCGAAGATTCTATTTGACGAAAAATCGGATAATGCGTTTTTACAGTGTAAACGCAACTTACAAGAGGCAGCGTTGTTAACTTATCCAAGTGAAAACGCTCCCTCATGTCTCATGGCGGACGCGTCTAATGATTGCGTAGGCGCGGTTTTACAAACTGAAGTCCGAGGTTCTTGGAGACCCTTAGGATACTTTTCTAGACGTATGACGGATACGGAGCGTAAGTATAGTGCTTACGATCGGGAACTGTTAGCTATTTACCTCAGCATACAGCATTTTAGGTATATGCTTGAAGGACGTACTTTTACGGTGCTAACAGATCATAAGCCGTTAACTCATGCGTTTAGTCAAAAACCTAGCGCGAAAGATACCCCACGACGTACTCGACAGCTCATGTTTATCAGTGAGTTCACAACTGATATTCGATATGTGAACGGTTCCGAGAACGTAGTTGCGGACTGCTTATCGCGCATAGAGACAGTAACGTGTCCCACGAACATCGATTACCAAGAATTATTCCAAGCGCAAAATGCTGACGGCGAATTGTCGGAGTTGTTAAAGTCACCGGACACGAACTTTAATTTTAATATTAAAAAAGTTTCATTACCTGATTCTAATCAAACCATTTATTGCGACGTGTCAACTAGCCGTATTCGACACTATTTGCCTGAGAGTTTTAGACGAAAGGCATTCCAGATGTTGCATAATCTAAGCCATCCAGGTATAAGGTCGACCCGGAAGTTAGTTAGCGAAAGATTTTATTGGCCGAATATGAACAAGGACGTAGGTCTCTGGGCCGAAACCTGTGTTCATTGCCAAAAGGTTAAGGTCACGAGACACACCATATCGCGATTCGGCGAATTTCAGCGGGCAGATCGATTTGAACATGTTCACTTAGATCTAGTCGGCCCACTGCCGACGTCACAAGAATGTTATAGATACTTGTTGACGTTAATCGACCGAACCACACGGTGGCCTGAGGCTTTCCCGCTAAAGGATATTTCTGCTAACACCGTAGCTAAAGCGTTTTATGAAGGTTGGATAGTGCGTTTTGGATGTCCCGTTAGGTTAACTAGTGACCAAGGTACCCAATTCGAGAGTCATCTCTTCAACTCACTTCTAAAGTACTTGGGTGTAGCGAAGAGTAGAACCACACCATACCACCCACAGTGCAATGGTATCGTCGAGCGTTGACATCGTTCTCTCAAAACATCTTTGCGAGCGAGGCTCGAATGCACGGGCAGTACGTCGATTGATCAGATACCTACGGTCCTACTCGGGTTACGCGCTGTTGCACCTAGCGACACAGGTGTCAGCGCAGCACAAATGGTTTATGGCGATAATATCAGGTTACCAGGAGAGTTAATTCGGAAAATTAGAGAATCTATTCATAAAATTCGTCCTGTTTCAATTAAAAACAGAGATCAAAAATCTATTTTCGTACACCCTGATTTGAATACGTGTAAATTCGTTTTTGTACGAAATGAGGTTGAACGTTCATCTCTCGAACCATCTTATTCAGGACCTTATAAAATTTTACAGCGAACTTCTAAAGTTTTTAAAATTCAGTTACCACATAGAGAAACGCGTGTGTCGATAGATAGATTAAAACCGGCATATATTCTCAACGAGGAGGACGTTCTAACATCGTCTTTATGTCCGCCCATTACGGACGATATTGTTTTGCCTTTTAATGTATTAGTGCCCAAACAATGTATTGTCGTTCCAACTCCTACATACTCACGTAGCCGGTAGGCAAATACGAAAACCGGTGCGATTTGTTAATTGAGGTTGAGCAATTTCATGATGCGACAAAATAATTATTTTGAATTTATTATTTGGAACGTGACGTCGACAGCTATTTACATATTATATTACTTTTAAGCATATTGTACTTCTTGCATATTATTTGTCCAGTTTAGTTTTAATTTTATGTACGATAACATCTACACCTAATACCCCAAAATGGGAAACTATTATGTTAAAGAAGAGGACAAATCGTTGATGATAAATAAGGAGACAGTAGATAACCTACAGAATCTGCAGTATTTATCTATTGGCCTTGGAGTAATCGTAGGAGTCCTAATACTCGCTGGTTTATACCTCCTGTTTACGCGCTGTCGCAAGGGTGCACAGAATTATATTTGGAAACAAATGAGGTTCCGGGATGTACAGCTCGGACAAGGCCGTCCGTCAGCTGCCACCATCCAGTTGCGTGAAGTCGCGCCTAAATCTCAACCTCGGGAAGCAAGAAGTACCGCTTTCGTGTAACCGCGTTCGTTTCATGTAATAACCAACGTACGTAATTTGTGTAAAATGTACGTATAGGTTAATTTTTTTTTTTATGTTATGTTTAAATTTTTATTCTGTTCCTTTCTATATGGATTTATATTCTTTTGTCATGTTTATTGTTTAACGAAATGTCTGCAATTTTAGAAATTAGTTGAAGCATGTAAATGTATTTTTTTTTTTTTTTTAAATGTATGTATTTAAAAAAGGAGGGGCTTATGTAGGGACACATTTAGCAGCGTATGCAGTTTTGTGCATCGCCTGCATTTGGTCAGTCGTACATAGCCCACCCGACACGGCAGACACTGGTGAATATACGGAGTAAAAATTACAATCAACTTGTTTCATTAGTAAAGGGCAGTTTACTCTTTACTCTTGCTAAAGCAACCGTACAGAACACACGTTGTGAGCACGCATCGAGCAAGCTCCGTTGGGCTACTCAACTCTTGTGCTTAGTGCGAGTTTTTTAACGTTCTCGATAGCGTAAAAGTTAGCTCATACTTAATACCGGTCACTCACATTCGCACGACGACGACATTTGCAAATGATTATGCAAAGTTTTCGCTGCATTCGCGGTTTTCCAAGCTGTGTCGGTTTTTTAACGGACATCAAAGCGCGCGAACCGCGATCCTTCGCGTAGTCTCCCACACATTCGTGTGACCAGTTGCGCCCACAATTGCAAAGGCAACGGACGTTTCGCCATTTTAATAGATCGTGACGTCTACTGTGTAGCGTACCTTCATCGTGGATTGGAACAACACCAAGGTGATGGAGTTCATTGAACTCCTGCAAAATAAATCGACCATAAATAGGACCCTCAAAAGAAATCCCATAAAAACAGAATGGCCGTTAATGACGCCTGGGAAATAATTAAAAACTCTTTTTCTCTTCAATGTTCTATTGACAAATAAAAAAAAGTAGAGAAATTCGTGAGACATTCGTAAAAAAGTGTAGAAGGAAGCACAAACGGGTTCGCAAATTGTGTACCGAACCCATTTGCACAGCCGAAGCTTGCGAATGAATGTATGACGGCCCTTCACATGCGCGCAAACATTTTTACAATTTAGGAATGTTTGTGCGCATGTGAGTGGCCGGCATAAGTGTGGAATGGGATCGTTTGCGTACGTTTGCCGCTAGGGGCGCTGTTCCAGCTGCATACAAAATTGAGTTAACTTTTACGCTATCGAGAACGTTAAAAAACTCGCACTAAGCACACTGTTCATCTTGTGATTGATACTAAAGACCTGTGTGCTTAGTGCGAGTTTTGTAACGCTCTCGATAGCGAGCCAGTTTGCTCAAATTTGTATGCAATTGGAACAGCGCCCCTAGCGGCAAACGTACCCGGTGTTATTTTGTGAGTGCGAGTTCATATTAACGTTGTGATCTCGTAACCGAGTAATTTTACCGAAATGAGTACCACGAATGACATTTGTGCGAGTGCGTGTTNATTAACTGTTTATTATCTGTGAAAGTGCACAAATGTGGGAAAATGAAACAAAGGCGCTGGACGCAACTTCTCGGGATCCTCCAAAAAGTCCACTGAAAAAATCTTAGTAAATGACCACCATTTTACTAAGATTATATTTCATTCCATATCATCTCATTTCATTTAATTTCATCCCAGTTGATTAACGTCTCAAATTAATCATTTTCATTTCATTTCACTCCATATTATCATTTTTCATAAAAATAAGAATATAAATTAAAATAAGACATGACTTAAAGGTCTTAGTTACCAGGTCATAAAATCACCTAAAAAATCTTAAAACCTGATATGTAGTTCCTAACATCATCTGTTCGTCTGCTGTGACTGTGTGTGTTAAACTCACAACGATACACATAGATTCGAACAATACCCGGTGGACACCTGTATGCTTAGTGCTTAGTACTGTTCATCTTGTGATTGATACTGAAGACCTGTATTACTTTCAGGTTTGTAGTTAGCTCTCACAGCAAGTACTTGCATGGTGCTGATGGAGTCACAGAGAAGCCCTTGTATATTGAGGACAATACGAATGGGTACTACAGTGATGCGAGCAACAGCGTTATCAGAAGGGTAAATGTGCCAAAGGTGAGTTCTATCATTTTTATGACTACGTGAGTCACCGCCTTGATAATACGCTCGCTGCCTAGGAATAGAACGTATGATACTCATCTGTTCCTCTATATTATACTTCATAATTAATACCAAATAAAATCTATATACATAAAAATTAATTGCTGTTCGTTAGTCTCGCTAAAACTCGAGAACGGCTGGATCGATTTGGCTAATTTTGGTCTTGAATTATTTGTGGAAGTCCAGAGGTTTAAAAGGTAGATAAATATGAAAATGCTCGGAATTAAATAAAAATAACAATTTTGTTTTTCCTTTGATGTGTCCCCCGTCGGACGGATTCCTTTTGTTTGTTTTAAGTTTATTTTATACAAAAGTTTAGGTCTTTTATTTGTCGATTGAGGCACTACGAAGTCTGCCGGGTCAGCTAGTACAAAATAAAAAAATACACTATCACTTGTTTTACACCTGACGTAATGAAGTAGTCGAGAACTCCAGTGATGAGCTTGCAACAGTTGCAACGTCTTGGTTAAGAGTCTCGTAGGTATAATAGGGACTAGGTCACAAATCTTTCACTGAATGCGCGATTATCTGTGTCAAAACATCCATTAAAAATATTCCTCGTATCCAATAGGTTTCTGTGACCTTCTAAATAAATAAATAAAAATATTTTTCAAGTAGCTTTACTGGCTCTCGTAAAATACAGTCTCACTGAGAGCTGGCAAGAAACTCAGGGCTTTGACAGATCAAGGTATCCTTAACAAACATGCTTAACTAAATAGTGTTCATTTTCTAGGAACCCTCTCCTACCTATATGGCTCCGGTGGAAACACGCAGAAAATCTATCCACGCGGTTCCGGAAAATTCCGAAGAAGTCGGGAAGAAGCGCAAGAAACACTCGCACAAAAAGAAGGGGAAAGGTAAAAGCCACAAGAAGCACCGGAAAGACGAAAAGAGACGAAGATATAACAGAATTTCCTCTGAAGTTGATAAGAATGTTGTTTCATTAGAAGACAATAGTGCTAATAAAAAATAAATGCGGACTCCATTTACGTCAACCTTTATTTTAAACTTAGTTCCATAGACCTATATAGTAGGGACACGACATATTGTTCTATACGTACAATTGCTTATATAAATAGCACCCATTTTGAAGGCACACACATAAACATATATCTATCTCGTTCTTACTCAGCACTTTAACTCGCAGGAAAACAATATAACAGTATTTCAGTGCGTACATAAAATGAAACATGAATATACGTAAATGTCTCCGTCTCTGTCTAATGAGGCCGAAAATCCGCCATGTTTAGCGCGCCAAATGTCATTGTCACGTCAGTTCGGCCGTCTGTTTTGGGTTGTACATTATTTATTGACTTTGATATCGATTTAATATGATTGCTTATATAAAATTTCTAGTTTTATCATGCTTAAAACATACAAAAATAATAATTAAAACATATTTTATAGGATCTCAAGAAAGTCGATGCCCCAAAACTATTATCTATATATATTTAAATTCATTATGGAGCCCTCATCCGAAAGATAGATTATACACTTATTATATTTGAATCCGAAATATCGGACACCATTTTTCGGTCGGAATCTATTCATCTTGACACTAATCATAAATACCTCTTTAAAATATGTCATCAAAATATTTAGACATTCTGTTTAGATATTTCGGGAAAAAGGCTACCGACAAAATCTCTTCGGAACTATTTAAATAAAATAGTTTTATTCCGCAGTGAGTAAAACACTATTGTAAATTCGTTAAATATATATAAATAAGTCACAAGGAATGACGTTTGTAATTTCATTAACGAATAAATGTTCTGTAGGTGTTTTTTTTATCAGGCGGTCCCTTGATAAGTTTAAAATTTGCGTGCGGTGCGGTAGTGCGGTGCACCTTCCTTGAGGTGCGCTGCGGTAGTGTGTTACGGACTTTAGAGTCAGCAAAACAATTAAAATAGATTGTAATAGTCTAAGAAAAACACGTACTCAAAATACGATAACATTCAGCATGCTAGAAATGGGCTGATGGCACTGTACTATGCCATATCTATAAGTTTTGCGGCAAACGACAACTTTATAAAATCAGTGTAGCAAATTTTAAAAATCGTCATATCGTTTACTTGGAAAATTTGAAGCACGAACTCGTCTTAGATTTCACATAATATCTAAATCACATAATCTTTGCACATAACAATACACTTACTTCCTATTAAAGTATAAATTCTACAAATACATTCATATTCAACAATATTTAAAATAAAATAAGCCAAGCGCGTTTATCGATAAAACCTACTAACATTAAAATCTTCTGGGCAGCACTAAAACCGCCATGTTTTGTGGCCAGATGACGTCACAGTGGCACGAATTTTTGGTTGACGTTTCATTTCCATAGGTTTCCTACTTCAGTGCTTAGTTCCATCTCAAAAAATATATAGTTAATTTACGAACGCAATAGCTAAGACTCAGTGTTTTTCCAACATCCGTGGGTCGAGATGAACACTAGTAGATCGCAGGCTCGCTTGCAAAATTACGCTAAGTATGGTAAAAACTAAAAAATGGGAATAAAAATAGCCATAATAAAATCCTCAAATATTCTCGGACGCAGGGTCCCAAAGATGCTACGTACGTAGAGTATGTAAATAAAAAAACTAAGACATGCGACTAATTAAAACTCTGTAGAGAGTAAAGTTGATTCTTCATTAATTATAGAAGTCATCGTGGCCTAAAGGATAAGACGTCAGGTGTATTCGTACCTATCTAGTGATGCGCCGGTGTTCGAATCCCGCAGGCGGGTACTAATTTTTCTGATGAAATACGTACTTAACAAATGTTCACGATTAACTTCCACGATGAAGGAATAACATCGTGTAATAAAAATTCAAACAGCAAAATTATGATTTGTGTAATTACTTATGGTATATAATCACTGATGAACATCTTGTGAGTCCGCGCGGTTAGGTACCACCACCCTGCCTATTTCTGCCGTGAAGCAGTAATGCGTTTCGGTTTGAAGGGTGGGGCAGCCGTTGTAACTATACTTGTGACCTTAGAACTCATGTCTCAAGGTGGGTGACGCATGTACGTTGTAGATGTCTATGGGCTCCAAGTAACCACTTAACACCAGGTGGGCTGTGAGCTCGTTCACCCATCTAATAATAATAATAAAAAAACTACTTAATGACTGTCCCACCTTTCAAACCGCAGCATATGGTTGCTTCTCTTCAGAAATAGGCAGTGTGGAACTGACATTACTCCTTATCATCAGTAAATGCCATTACTGACCATTCTCTGCTTAACTCTTTAGTACCTTATATACGAACCTCGGAAATAGAGTCCAATTTCTAATTACTGCAAGTCAACATCAGCACACAGCGTATTTCCAGTATTTCCAAAAAAGTAAGATTATAATCTTTAATTATCGCACCTTCTCCCATTTGATTTAATTAAATTATTTTATAATGCATACCTGTGTATATGCATACCATGTAGATGCATACCACGTATACATTTAATTGTACTTTTAGTAAGAAAACCAATTATAATTATTTGGATGAAAGTTCTGAGACCCCTACAGATTTAATATGAATAAAAAATTCTGCATTATACTATTTATTAGTCAAATGTACATTATACATTACAGATGTTTTATAATAATATACAATTATAAACATGAAGCTATCGCAGATTTTCGATAACAAGTTTTTCTGTTTTATACATATTTCCAATGGCTGCCTGTAAAACAAGATGATTTCATATATGAATTAATCACAATAGTTTAACCTTTTAGTGCAGTTAGATCAGAGGTGGGGTGTAGTGGTAGTTTTCCAATTACAGAGCATAATGCGACTCAGTGACGCACAATACCAAATTATGCTGAAGCTTAATTGGAACATGAATTAGTTTTCAAATGCATCAGCAGAGTGCGCTAAGTTAGCACAGTTTTAATTAACATTGATTATTTCTAAGAAACTACGACGAAACGAAAGCCTTACAATTTTTTTCAACATTAAATAATATTACTAACGATAATATAAACAAAATTTCGATCAATGCCAACTTAAAGAAAAAACACTTGTCAATTTTCTGTCACTGNGAATTAGTTTTCAAATGCATCAGCAGAGTGCGCTAAGTTAGCACAGTTTTAATTAACATTGATTATTTCTAAGAAACTACGACGAAACGAAAGCCTTACAATTTTTTTCAACATTAAATAATATTACTAACGATAATATAAACAAAATTTCGATCAATGCCAACTTAAAGAAAAAACACTTGTCAATTTTCTGTCACTGAGTCGGTACCGATTACGAGTATCACGCGAGAGCAGTACTTTTGAGAGTGCTCGATTGTGCTTCGAGTTGCTGCAGTTGGAACATTCAACGTTGAGTATTATGCCGCATAATGCGCTCTTATGCTGTAATTGGAAAACTACCAGAGTGAGCCTGAATAGATTGGTACCATAATCTCTCCCAGTTCTGTCACAAAGCAATCACATTTTCTTATTTTAACAAGAAAAAGATCAGTCGTTTGATATTTTGATCAAATCAACATTTCAAACCCATCTTGATAGGGATGAAGCATACTTTATTTTCATTAATAGAAATTTTAGAAAATTTGTTCTCCTTTCCTGCTCCTGAAGACCAACACTGCCAAATGGACTGCAATAAGACTAAGGACAAATTGTAAAAAACAAAAGGTGGCAGATTTTCCATTGTAATGTTTATAGACTACTGTTACCACTTAACTGATGTGATATAATGGAAACCAAGATATAAATATAATTCTTTTCTAAATAAAATATAAGCTAATTACCACATGTGTTTGATAACATAAATGAAACATATTCACACACCTGTCTCCTGATAACATTTAAATTTTCTTTTCCAAATTCAAACTCTTTCTTCACAATCTTAACATCAGACACATTTTTATTATCTTTAAAAGCATCTCGAATTCTTCTTAGTGCGTATGCTCTGAAAGGATGAATGGTTAAAATTTATCATTTTTTGATAAATTGTTGATTAATTAATTCATAATTTATTGAGGCTTCGAAAATCTCGTTCATTTTAATTACTGTAACTCTGATGCTGTAGTTATTAATTGAGGCTGATTTTTTAATTTAATTATCTAATTAAGTTTGCTTAAAATGTGTCGTCTGCCTAAAAAACTAAAATAACAATTTAAATGCATGAAAATGATAATCATTTATAGCATCATCATCAGTCTACATAATTTTACTGGACATAGGCCATCCTCAAGCTTCACCACAGTGACGGATCCTAAGCTGTTCAAATCTGACAGATTCTCACAACTTCAACATACTGTGGGTCTACCTTCTGGAAGGATTACTTGTACTACAGATTTTGGTGTAGAGTTGCAATAGTGACCATTTTTTCTATGAGCTATATGCCCCTCACAGTGCTAATTTAAACTCGTTGATTACTTATCATAATGAGTAATTAATATTAATGAAGTGCATTAATATCACATTCATCATTCCATTTACCTGACTCATTTCAATTATTATCCAAATCATTGATTCCAAACAAGCTTGATAATTTTTGATTGCGTTGAAATTCATTTTTTTCGCTTTTTTTTTATAGCAAGGGTGGACGAGCTCACAGCCCACCTGGTGTTAAGTGGTTACCGGAGCACATAGACATCAACAATGTAAAGGCCGCCACCCACCTTGAGATATAAAGTCTAAGGTCTCAGTATAGTTACAATGGCTGCCCCAGCCCCTTCAAACCGAAACGCATTACTGATTCACGGCAGAAATAGGCGGAGTGGTGGTACCTACCCGTGCGGACTCTGAAGACGTCCTACCACCAGTAAATACATTTACTTAAGCCTAATAGAATTTGGTAGCCACATATCATGACAAAATTAAAAATGTATTGACTTTGTTTGTAATTTAAGAAGGTAACAAAATTATGCTTTTGTGTTCACTAGTAACGTTGGAGTAAATCTTTCATTTGTTTTAGGTTATATAATGGTGCAAAACATTACCTGAAATTATAGTTAGGGAACTTCTGGGATTCTCTGAGAAGCAATTTATAGAGAGATAATATTTGTATTTTAGGTATCGCGCCAGACATTTCGCTTTATTATTCGACAAGCTTATTAAAAACTATAATATATTGATAAAAGGTAATACCCAATGATATTTGTCTTACGAATTGTTATGACCAGTTATGACATTACACTCCAGTTTTTTTATGTAAACAAAAATTAGACGTTCCGTATTACACGGTGTTAAACCTTTATTTGTTATAAAATAAATTTATCGTGCAAAACTTTTGAATTGTGATAATAAATGTAAAAGAAGGTAAATTCGTAAGTTTCGCGTCTGGGTAGAAGTTTCAATTCGACTTTGATTATTAGTCACAATTTACACTAGTAAGGATGTAAATTTAAGTAGCCTTTGTCTAGCTACACTACAGGATACCGAAAAGTGTACATTGTCAATTTGGTCTAACGTCAGTAACATCTGATTTGACATTCCCGATGTTTTAATAACATTTGCGATCTGATAATTACAAATTCAAATATTGTTATGCTCGTCAGCCGTCATTCTAAGACATATATAGGTACTTACTAAATTAAAACTTCGCCAATGTGTACAGTTGTGTTCAGTGTAAATAAAACAATTTCTGAAGTAAATTAAAAATCAACTTCTCCGAATTATTTGAGGTGTTAATTTATGTTCTCATAAAACGTACGTAATCTAAACAGTGAGTTAAAAGTTTGATGAAATTTAAATTATTTTAACCAAATTATCCAAAGGAAACAAACAACAAAAGTACTTTGTTTACAAGACTAGCGAAGAAAATTGTCATATTTTTGTCAAAGAAGTTAGGATTTCTAGACCATTTTTAAAAATTCACTTGCCTGCACATTTTGTTGTGTAACTTAGCGGAAGATGATTACTAAACATGTTTTGTATGTAAATCACTTAATATGTGTTATGTCAAGTTATGAAAGTTAGCAAAGGAATACAATTTACATACCATGTAACACAAATATTACATACCATGAAATGCCTAATATTAACTTTAATTTTTAAAAACAATTTTCAAAACTAAAAAGAAATAAAGAGACTATTTCGCTTGGTCATTGAAATAATTATCAGGTTAAAATCTAAAATTCTAAACAGATACTATAATAATAAAAAACAAATTAATGATGAAAATTGAATATCATTAATTAAGTTGCAATGGAAATTAAATTAAATATTATCCATAGTAAAAAAGTAAAGTAATTATATAAGAAGTAGTTTAATATTAATGTATTTGTAATTCAATCCTCATATCTCAAGGAATCTTGTGCTCTTTATATTCTGATTTCTTGTGTGGCCCCTGTGGTTGCTGATTAAAACAGGCAACCATGAGCCATCTGCCATCCTGGCTACTAAATTATTGATTTCAGTTCATGGAATATTCACCATCGCACAAGAATTGGCATGATGAGGAAAGATATCACGTGCACAGCGATGAGAGTCCTGTATTGTCTTACAGGTAATTAAAATTAATTGAAATGTATTAAATCTTACTGGTTCTTTTATATAGAAGTTGCATTAAACTATTATTTATTAAAATTAACATTCGTTGACATTTTAAGGAGTCTGTAAACCCTAAACAACTGAGAAAGACATGAGATGGAATTATCAAAGTTATGTATTCTTAAAAACTTCAGTTATTAACTACTTTTTACTTGTGCTTATTTTAAAATTAAAATTAAAAAGTTATTTACTGCCCTTGTAGACAGATTCTCTTACCATCCACGTAATAGTGAGTGCTTACCGTAGCTAATGAATGGCATCCAAGTCACTGCCTACCGTTAGAGTATAATATGATTCTACATATATACTACAAGTTCTTGTATTTTTGCGATATATGTTGTGTATATGTTTATGATCTGTAGTTACCACTTAACATAAGATGAACTATGAATTCATCTTATCTTATTCAGATGCTCAGCCATGCAAACCGGTCACATAGCCCAGTTACAGTGCTTTAATTCTACCACAGACATGAAAAATACAAAAACTACACGCAGTACTCGAATGTCAAGAGCGTCAAGGAAGAAGTCAAAAAGAGGTCCACCTTCAGCATCCTGGCCAAATTTTTCCTGTTTAGTTCAGCGGTGATATTGTTCTGTGTGCTTATGTACATACCGGTTTATAACAAAGCGAATAATCAAATATCTAAAGGTACGTATTCAAATTAATGGTTTGGTGAGAATTAACAGATAAACATCTGGCGTCGACCAGGTTTACGGGTCGATGAAAATCGTAGGGTCACGGTAATTATTGCCACAACTGGAATATGTTGATGTCCGCAGAGAGGCCAGTGCTCTGCAGTCGGTACGAGTTGAGTGATGATGATTTACACAAACAAGCAAGGGTTCACCACTCTGATAAAGTGGCGCGACATGAGAATCATCTCATCGTGGCTGTCGGAAACTATATAGCCGATCATGCGGACCAAATGGTAAACAAACAGTCGACGTCGCCCAAAACACGTCTTTCGGATCCTACCGGTCCACGGTCCGGTGATTTTAGGTACCCCAAGCACCGGTCGTCGTTCTCGTCGAACCCGTCGCTTGTGACGAAAGGCTCGGCTTCATGGCGCTGATGGTAGCTGGGTTCCCACAGACACAGCCCACTGAGTTTCTCGCCGGATCTACTCAGTGGGTCGCGTTTCCGATCCGGTGGTAGATTCTGCGAAGCACGGCTCTTGCTAGGATTCATGTTAGCAACATCGTCAGGTTTGAGCCCCGTGAGCTCACCTAGTTAAGGTTACGCTGATATGGTCTCTCAGGACCATCAGCTTAGGTAGAAAAAAAAAGGGTTCATCACGCATATAAAGTGGTTGCAGTTTTAACTTTACTTTGTTCATGACAATGAGGAACTTTTATAATGGACAGCTTTTCATCTTACAGTTGTAGCCATTGTGATAGAAACCAACAAGTTAGAACCTGAATGTAAAAAACCGTCAAGTAGCCCAAAGGGACTGGAATCTCATACCCCGTCTTTATCACTCTCTAACATCCAAACAATTGTATATGTTTCTTTCAGCTATCGTGTCCGGTTGGTCGGTTCACTCGAACCGAGACACAAAACTGTACGTCAGGCCACAGAACGTGACCGTGGTGCACGAGCCGACCGCCCTGTGCACCGGCGCCGGGCTGTTCCTGCTCATCGTCGTGTGCTCCGCCACCGGCAACTTCGAGCAGCGCCAGGCCATCAGGGACACCTGGGGCAGCCAGGCCAGATACACAGAAATAAGAAAAGTCTCCGTCAAAATACGCGAAAAGTACAAAAACTACAACTACTCGTACGATTTGATCGGTAAAAGCAAAAGAATGAAACGCGAGATCGCAGATTTGAGTAACTTACTTCCTCACTTAGCGGCCGCGCTCAGGGACAACGTTGATAATCTGGAATCAGAAGCACCCGAAAAGCGTTTTGATGACGAAATGTTACCAGAATTCGACATGAACAGAGAAATAGGGGAGCAGACCGAAAACTATGACTATAACTTCGAATCCAACGTGATGAGGATACCGCCGCGGGGCTTCGAAGACAATCCGGACTTGGATAAAGTTCTGTCTATACTCAAACTGGACAAACGCTTCCTCAAGGTGGAGGAGAAGTTGCGGAATACCAAAGTCGAACCAGACTTCAAGCTGGCGTTCATATTGGGGCTGCCAGTCAACGACTCCAACTCGGCGGTTCAGAGGAAGATCGATGAGGAAATTGACAAGTACGGGGATATCATACAAGAAGATTTTATTGACTCGTACAACAACTTGACACTGAAATCTATTATGATGCTGAAGTGGATCAATAATAAGTGTAAAGACAAGGGTGAGTATCAGGCTGGCCTCGCCGTAGAGCCCGTGGAGACACGTAGATCCTCCATAGGAATGTGAACAGTGATGTCGTATGAAGCGTTTATTTTTGCTTACATTAGTGAATGTGTCCACGGCCCCCTGTGTTGTATCACAAGAGTACATAGGCATCACAACTTTAATATCGTCACCCATTTTGATACTTCACGTCTAAGTCACACAGTTGTATTCTACGACGGCGATATCCACCCAGGGCACTGTAGATAGGGTAAGCAGGGTAGGGAAGACAGACGTCTTATCTCCATTACTTCTCTACCTCCAGTAGAGCCCTCCTCTAATACAGCCCTGCCTCCAGTAGAGCCTGAGCCTCCGCGACTCTACCTCTGTTTCGATTTCAGTTCGCTATATCCTCAAAACGGACGACGACATGTACATCAACGTGGTGAACTTAGTGAATAATTTACGTAATAAATCAAAAGAATTCGACGAGAGACCGTCGAAGGGCCCGGGCGAGAGGGAGTACTTGCTGCTGGGCGACCTCATATGCGGCGCCAGACCCGTGCAGGACGCCAATAATAAGTGGTAAGATCAGTACAGATTAACGTTTAACTCACTACTATCATTTTATGTGTACTCAAATCTACTTAAACACTAGTGTAAAAAAAAGGAAAATTAATAAGTGTTTAGCTACAACCTTCTTTTTCTTCTTTAGTTTTTGGCTCCCGCACGGTTTGTGCATTGGCCAGCGTCAAGTAATAAGATTTTTATAATTCGCCGTTTTAGTTATTTACAGTTTATGAATAATAAAAAACGAAGGAAACTTAATCAATTGGCATGAAATGAAATGAAATGAAATGAGATAAGATGATATGGGATGAAATATAATCTCAGTAAAATGGTGGTCATTTACTGAGACTTTTTCTGTGAACTATTTGGAGGATCCCGAGAAGTTACGTCCAGCGGCTTTTTTTCATTTTCCTCATTCGTGCACTTTCACAGATACTAAACAGTTAATAAACCACTGTTATTACACATTTAATCACAAAGAAACACTAAATAGACAAAATAAAACAAATCACATAACTTCACTCCACGCGTTCCCGCCAAAAAGTCCAGCTACAACCCTAATGATCTTATTTATTGAATAAGTATGTACATTTCCACTTATCGGTTATGGTCAGTTTTTAATTAAAATAAGACTGTGACAAGAGGAAATACAATATTACTGACGAGGAGGACTGAGGAGAGAAATACCGAAAGCTGATCCCAATGTGGGATGAATAGGCGGCGACATCGACTATAGTTGCCATTGCCGACCTATCGTCACGCTCTGCTGTGCGACTTCCTATATTCCTAAAATATATAATAGTTTCATTATACTGAGAGTAACTATACTGTGACCTTAGAACTCATATCTCAAGGTGGGTGGCGCATTTACGTTGTAAATGTGTATGGGCTCCAATTACCCCTTAGCACCAGGGGGGCTGTGAGCTCGTCCACCTATCTAAGCAATAAAAACTATTCCATTTGGGGACACAAGGTCGCTCCGTGACGATCGTTATATCCCATAGACGACTGGTGGTAGGACCTTTTGTGAGTCCGCACGGGTAGGTACCACCGCCCTGCCTATTTCTGCCGTGAAGCAGTAATGCGTTTCGGCTTGAAGGGGGGCAGCCGTTGTAACTATACTGAGACCTTAGAACTTATATCTCAAGGTCGGTGGCGCATTTACGTTGTGGATGTCTATGGGCTCCAGTAACCAGTTAATATCAGGTGGGCCGTGAGCTCGTCTAACCACCTAAGCAATAAAAAAAACTGCCCCGAGTGGTCGGCCTCATGTATCAAAGTAGTACCCGTTGAGTTGCGTATCCGTCGGCGTGTCTTGACTCGACATTTGTCCGTTCCGGCCCAGGTACAGTCCCCGGTACATGTACAACGCGCGGGTGTACCCCAAGTACTTGTCCGGGACGGGGTACGTGATGTCCGTGGACGCCGCCGCGGCTCTGTACCGGGCCGCGCTCAACACCAACTACTTCCACCTTGAAGATATTTACATAACCGGTAAGGTAGCATACGTATGGACCGATGACCTGGGGAGGATCGCTGGGTCGCGTCGGATGCAGGCAGCAACGAACCGACCGCACGGGAGTTCAGTTGGAGAGGCCTGTGTTCAGCAGTGGACGGTGGACATCCTGAAATAATGATGCAGATGAAGTTGTGTTCCAACTTGTCGCAAACCGCCCGTGTCTAGTACAAAGGGGTGTCCCGCGAAGCGAGGAACTTCGCGAGATCGGCACTCCAAAGCATGAACGGGCAACGAGACATGTCGTAAAACATATTTAAAAACGAAAAGCAAAACTCACTAACGATCTTTTCAAGATTAGCATAGATTCAAGTTCTAAAGCAAGGCATTCGGATGGTGGACTCTTGGTCGCTTTGTTCAAACTTGCGTTGCTGAAGCCCATAGACACAACAAGTCCTACCATCCACCTTGAGACATGAGTTCTAAATCTAGATTTTTATAATACAACAGCTGCCCCACCCTTCAAACCGAAACTGCGTTATTGCTTCACGGCAGAAATAGGCAGGGTGGTGGTACCTACCCGTGCGGAACTCATAAGACGTCCCATCAGTAATGTTGTTGGTTCACCGTGAAAGTCATTCGTGAACATTTGTTAACTACATATTTCATCAGTAAAATTGGTACCTGTCTCCGGAATTCAAACACCGTCGCAGCCTCATCGCTAGATATAAATGTACCGGACGTCCTTTGGGTCACAACGACTTAATTGCGTATCTAACGCCACCGACATCAGATGGCGCGCCAGTAGTTTCAACATAAGGAAATAGTGAGAGCAAGGCGTGGGCTAGGTTCCCCGGTCGATGGGGTCGGTGGCGCGGTGACGTCACGGCCGCGCTGACGCTCTGCTGCCCCGCCAGGTATGTGCGCCATGGGAGCCCGGCCGCTGCTGGTGGCCCGCGACGACCCGCTGTTCTCGTACAGCCGGCTGCGGGGCGGCGCCGCCTGCTCCGCGCACGCCAGGGTCACCGCGCACCGGGTGGGACCCCCGCACATGCGCAGCCTGGACCGCATGCTCACCGACCAACGAACTGTTGACAAGTGAGTGTCACGTACAGCGGGGACCCCTCTCGGCTTCTACCTTCACTAGTCTATGTCCGGAAGGCTGTATGGCCTTAGATCTCCTTGCCTTTGCTAATAAGAAAAATTGTATCAAAAAAGTCTATGTCCGGCCGCGGCCACGCCGCGACCGCTAGGCCGCGGGACTCGCCGGCGAGCATACGCAAACTTTCAATATTTTTTAATTATTTTTATTGCTTAGATGGGTAGACGATCTCACAGCACACCTGAGTTAAGTGGTTACCGAAGCCCATAGACATCTACAACGTAAATGCCGCCACCCGCCTTGAGATATGAATGCTAAGGTCTCAGTATAGTAACAACGGCTGCACCACCCTTCAAACCGAAACGCATTACTGCTTTACAGCCGAAACAGGGAGGTGGTACCGCGGTACCTACCCGCGCGGACTCACAAGAGGTCCTACCACCAGTAATTACGCAAATTATAATTTTGCGGGTTTGATTTTTATTACACAAGGTTATTCCTTCACCGTGGAAGTCAATCGCGAATATTTGTTAAGTACGTATTTCATTAGAAAAATTGGTACCCGCCTGCGGGATTCGAACACCGGTGCATCGCTCAACACGAATGCACCGGATGTCTTATCTGTTAGGCCACGACGACTCCTAATTCTATTAGTCACTTCCACTATTTCGGTTTCAGATGTGAACGTGTGCGGCTCACTGAGGTAAGGAAACGAATGCTCCGACCTAAGATACCAACTAAAAAACTAACGAAACACTGGACGGGTCACTTGAGGTCATCAGCCAAAGTCACGTGAGGTGCTCCCTACTGCCAAACAAATGAGTCGTCTATTGTGGCAATCTGTGCATTTTGACAAAAAAATGTTATTGATATGTCAATACAGATTGATTTGAATATAATCGTCTCCTTCAAAGAATACGGTTCAAAACCTGAATTAAATAAAGGTTAATACTTAACCTGTTATTTATCTAAGATGTCGTTCAGAAGAGTTTTGTGACTGCCAATGGAATACAAAGTCAATAATTCGTTTTTCTGATTTACCAATAATTGTCCAAAAGTCATATTGCCGGCTTTGATAATAGTCGACTCAAATAGAGACCGTTGACTCATGATTGATTGTCTTTTAAACAAACTTCAAGTATATGTTAATACAATGAAAAAGGCTGAGGGAGAACGCTTCATTGTCACAAAACGTCTTGTAGATAAACATTAACATTAATATTAGCTAAATACAGACCGCACTGGTTTCCAAAGTGTACTCTGTCCCGGCTAGCGCTACCCGCGTACCTTCTAGTCCCCGGGCCCGTGATAGCGCTTAGTGCTCACCAATACTCACCGTTAGATTAAGTGTTCCGATCGAGTAAAATTATAAGTATTATACTTTATTCATAGTAAAGTAATTTTCGATGTGCTCAAATTCGATCTATACAATATTATTTACTTCGAATTAGGGTATCAGTTTCTTAGGTTAGTGCTCAGATCGTTTCGAGATCATTATTTTGTTTTGCTTCATCATCATCATCATCGATGCCTGTTCTTTTTTTTATCACTTTTGCTAAATTTCAATATTATTTAATTTGTTTTTATTTTTTTCATTCCTTCAGGTAAAACCGCAAAATCGCAGCATGTACGTAGCTTACAGATATACGAAGTTACACAGACTATATAATTGTGATTAAGTAATTGCTGGAAACTAATAAAAGAAATCTAGTTATTGGAGGTATTTCGTTGAGGACTTGTAAAGTTACATATTTCACTAGCATATCACGTGGAAGGAACCGCTTCAATCAAATCGTTGGCTGGCTGGCTCTTAAGGAGAAATTAGGCCATCTCCACCTCCACCTCAAAGTTCATCTAGCTGGAGCATGCGTAGTTACACATTAAAACAACTCAGCCTTTCTTAACAATATAAAAACTGTTCTGCTATCGTGGTCTAATTGGTCCAACGACCGGTCATGTTCCATGGATCCTCAAATTGTTAGGCCCTGCGCATGCCCGCAGGTCATCCGCACCCTTGTCTTTCAATCATCATTCTCCTGTCCTTCCAGTCAACTGGGATCGGTGTAACATATTTTCTTCTTCCATACTCCTCTATCATATTTTATATCATATCCATTACCTCTTCCTCCACCCTCGTCTTCCAATCTCTACGCGTAAATACAGGTCGATATTACTCCCAGCTCGCAACCCTACTGACGACCTCACCACATCCAGCATAGGACCAGAAAGTGCCATGGAAGTTATGCTTCTGCGGCTTAAAAAATAATACGATAAAATTCAATGTGTCATACAACCGATCGTTATTCTCACGCCAATCTGTCTCCACATCCCAAGACTCAGCTCAAAATACAAGTGTCACCCCTAATTATCCTTCAAGAGACGGCTCCATTGAATAGTGGAATAGTTCACTGGTGGTAGGGCCTCTTGTGAGTCCGCACGGGTAGGTACCACCGCCCTGCCTATTTCTGTCGTGAAGCAGTAATGCGTTTCGGCTTTAAGTGTGGGACAACTGTTGTAACTATACTGAGACCTTAGAACTTACATCTCAAAGTGGGTGGCGCATTTACGACGTAGATGTCTATGGGCTCCAGTAACCACTTAACACCAGGTGGGCTGTGAGCTCGTCCACCCATCTATGCAATAAAAAAGGTATACTTTATTTATCTATCTGTTAACATATATGCTATAACATTCCGCATAGTTTATCCCTGATGATCTGATAGCAAAAAAAAGCTTTAACTTTGATCTTAAATTTCGCCATGAAGCATATTATTGTTTAGAACATAGTTAAAAACTCTCGAATAGACGCGCCTTCACATTGTCCGCGTGGTCAGCTCGACTTAAGATTATTAAGGCTTTAGCTCGTCAGTCAGCTAAAGATATTAGAAGTATTTTAATTATCCACCAAGTTCTAATAGCCATAGTTGTAACATTACGTATTAGACGTCCGTCCATTAAATGTGTTAATTTTTGTATACATCTGTGATGTTATTAATGAACTAGATGTACCCGTCCGCTTCGCTGGGCATTTAAAATTAAGATTATTATTTCTCACCCCCATCATTTTCTCATCATTAACGCCCCCGCAACGGGTGTAGGGAGTCCAACACTCATATAAATATTAGCCTATCCATTAAGTGTATGTATTTTTTACATGGATACCAAGTTTCAAGTCAATCGGATGCATGGTTCAGTAGTTATAACGGAACATCCGTAAAAACCACTGTAGATTTATATATTAGTATATAGATGTAATGTAACATCGATTTTTCATTGACGCTCAGCCCCACAAGCGAGCGAGGGAAAAACGATGTGAACTAGAAACTGTTTCATTATTTTTATTAATAAGGCAATACTTAATAACGGTAAGGTACCTCTGTAAAAAATTGTAGATATGTCGAGGGGGAAAGGTTATTAGATTTAAGCGACATTTCGCTTAACAAGCGACATTTATCTTTGTAATTAAAGTTCCGTTTTATTTGGTATCAGCATCAACAGTTCGGTGTTTTTAATCGAACTTTCAATTTTAAGCTTACTCCGTTTAAATAGCTGAAGAAGTTTTTAAGCTATTGCATAGATTTTATCGCGGGCTTTGAGCGCGGCGACTGAATCAAGAAATTCCGTAACGAAAATAACCTGACACCCCCACTACGCCTACTATGTAGGTCGCGGTCAACACATTCACACGTAGTGTAGTGTTTGTAAATAAGCGCATGCCGTGACGTCACACTGCATGCGCATCATGAAAAGTCTGTCCATCTCTCTCTCGCGCGGTCTAGCTTATGAGTGTGAAAGGGACAGTTAATGTTTTGCTTTTATTAATGTTTAATATAGCGTGGTCTTGTTTTATTATTGTTTTAATATTAAATTATCATTGTCTAATTATACTTGCATAAGTTGATAAAAAATGCTATGTAATAGCTTTACCGCGGCAGTTCCCGAGTGCCACACGTTTGTTTTTTGAAGAATTTTAAACTACTAGTGATCCCGCAGTAGTCGAAATTCGACTATAATCAATTGAAATTATAATTTTGAACATTATTATGGTTGGTTCTATTGTCAAAGACTTTACTTCTATAATCCCAGAATTCCTCAAGACTATCCTGTAGACAGATAATATTAAAGATAAACAATATTAATCTATTCTCAGTTTGACACACAGACTTTAAGCAATAACAAAAGTTTGACAATAAACAAAGAGTGATCTGTGTGTGTGTACCAAATACACGGTAGTGTGTGTAATGTTTTTTTTATTGATTTAATGTGCTATGAATGCATAATACAAATAAAATATTAGCATTTTGCACTTCTTCTCTATATTCTCTATAAGTGAGGAAAATTTCATACTCCTCCGTCCGCGCAATTTTCGTAAAAAGGAATACAAAGTTTTTGCTTCATGTATTAATATATAGGCTCTCCTATAATGTTGCAAAAATGCCGCTTAAACCAAATAGCATTTCAACCCTCAATATGCATATTAAGTATAGATAACAGTAAGACTGTAACTATGTATGTTTCTCTGTGTTTGTCACCTGAGCTGGGTCAACACTTTTTTTTGTAGGTTTTTTTTAGTTGTCCTTAAAACATAAATTATTATTAATAAGATTGTATGTGCCATTTGGTGTCATAATATGTATTAAGTATTCTTAGAATAAGGACCCATAAACTCTGATATATCTAACGATTTCTTGATTAAAAATCACTTTTAGAGCGCACATTGTCCGGTCTGGACATGCGCATGTGCGCGCATTTGTACTGTGTTCTATTCATCAGTCATTCAACACTTTACGAGTTCTTGATTTATTGGTTTCATGCAAATTAATGGCACGTTCATAAAATTTGTTCAAACAATAACGGTAATCCCTTGGGTGCTTGGGGTCATTATATTTAGTTCATCTCTATCGGTGCCTGGTCAACTTCGTTGTTCACTCCTCGAGTTTACAGCAAGAAGGATATTAAAACACAGAGTGCGTCCGTTGGTCGTATCCTTTCTAGACGCCGCGCCCGCCGCGTGGACTACGTGCCGTGGTAAGCGTGCTTAGTGCGGGTTTTTTACGTGCTCGATAGCGTAAAAGTTAACTCAAATTTGTATGCAGCTATAACAGCGCCCCTAGCGGCAATCGTGCCAACTCCATACAAATTTGACTTAACTTTTACTCTATCGAGAAAGTTAAACAAAATGTGAGCCTTCACGGGACGCCTGGCAGATGTGAAACATCGACATTATTTTGTAAAAGTAATATGCAGAAAAGAACAGATTGTGATAGGAACTAAATATGTCATAATGATAAAATAAAATATTACGAAAAAATAATTTGTTTTCAAGTAAAACACAGAGAGAATCGCACAGTCGATTGCGCATGGCGACGCGTCGTCACACCGTACACACTACTGCATATAGACTGTATATATACCATCATAAAGCGTGGCGACGCGTCGCCACAGCATTCGTCGCCACGCCAGAAATCGGTTTTACGTGCGGCTACAGATGTTTCACATCAAAAACTCGCACTCAGCGCACTGACCACTTCGAAACAATACGAAAGTGATTCAAACTTCTCAGGTCTCCACTGTTAACTTAATTAATAAATTTAAAAACTAGGAAGTGTTTTAGGAATGTCTGTGGCTGATGAAATCTTTAGGATGATTAGATGAAGCATGTAATGTTTTAGACACTAAATTATGTATAATCTGTGTGCTTAATGCGAGTTTCTTAACGTTCTCGATAGCGTAAAAGTTAACCCAATTTTGTAGGCAGTTGGACCAGCGCCCCTAGCGGAAAACGTAGGCAAACGTCCTCATTCCATATACAAATATGAGTTAACTTTAACGCTATCGAGAACGTTAAGAAACTCGCACTAAGCACACTGATCCCGCGTCGTGATGGGCACCGCGTCCGGCCCGGGTGCGTTGTGGCTTCAGTGCTTGCATTGAATCTCAAAACTGTAATCTCATAGTTTTAAATTAGCTAATCAATGTGTATAATATAATTTGTGTATGTAATTTAAACTTTAGTAACCGTTGGAGTTAAAGTTATTTAAAGCCTAAGTTACTGTGTCATGGGTGCGCCAGTAACGTCTCGCGACTTCGGAATAAAGCACCCTTGTAGGCATAAAGCTCGTCGCAAGCCTTTTTTTGTTTGTCACATAAAACAACATTAAAAAACAATCGAAGAAATATATTAGTTTTAATTCAAGACCCCACCTGCCACTTGTACTGTTTCTAGAATGTTCTAGAGAACAGACGCGAAATCGTGTCAGTAACTTACCAGATTAAGCTGGGACAGTGGTCAGCAACTTTGTCATCCATAAGAGCCAAATATAGATAATAAACAATTGAAATTGATTCAAAGGGCCATTTTTTAAACATATATTTTTATAACTGTGGATTTTAAAAATGTTTGCTTGTCTCTTAAAAGGCAAGACATTAAGTAATATTCGTAAAGTCCTATCGGAGGAGTCAAACCGCCACATGTGGCTCGCGAGCCGCACGTTGCCGACCACTGTGCTAGGGGATTGACGGATCAACGTTCTTACATTCGCCACAAAAAAGTCCAAATCCGATCCTACTGACCGCAGCACGTTTGTCTTCTAGACTCTAGACCAGTGATTATCAAACTTATTTCTTTTACCGCCCCCTTTGAAAATCAATTATTTTTCAGCGCCCCCCATTTTTTACACCCCTAAAACTTTAAAACCATAATTTCATTAATTTAATTAATTAATGTTGTATTAATTTTAGTAAATGTAGTAACCACGTAGTACATATGTATTTGTCGATGCTATTATTGTTTCTTCATATTATTATATGTCCGTACATTGCTACAGAGCGTGTATTTACAAATTTGCAAAGTAAAAACGAATTCTTCTCATCAATATGTTTGTTTAAATTCAGAATTACCAAAATAAATTGCTAGTTCACTGTACTATTACTATGCTAATTTATTAGAACGAAACTATTTTTGTTGAATATCTTTCTCATTAATATAAGATTCTCATCATAAGATAATTAAATATTTATATTTCGACTAGTAAATAATACTACTAACAATAATAACTTATTAAACTACGAATAAGCTAAAGCTGGAAGTCGTAGAGGATTTCATTTATCTGAGCTCCGTCATAGCTGGTAATGGATCCTCCAAAAAGGACCTCAGAAGGCGAATCAGTATGGCAAAGAGAGCTATGTCCCAAATGGACCGTGTTTTGGCGGACAGAAACATCTCGAGGAATACCAAAAAGCAGCTCGTCACCTCCCTCGTCTTTTCCATTTTTCTCTACGGGAAGAGACTTGGACCCTCAAGAAAGCCGACCGCCAACACATCGACGCGTTTGAGATGTGGTGCTGGAGGAAAATGCTCGGGATTCGTTGGACAGAACACAGAACCAAAGAATCCATTCTTACCGAGCTCAAGATTCCAATGCGCCTCAGCACTACATGCGCGTGGAGGAGTTTCGAGATCTTTGGACATATCGCCAGAAAGAGAGGT